TTATTGGTGTGACATAAAGGAATCTTCCTTACCTAAATTTGCAAGTGGCCTTTTCATCTTTATTTCTTGCTATTTTTTCCCTGTAAAATTTTATAATAAAGCTAAAAACACCTTGAAGTTTAGATTGAAGAATTTAGGTAGCTTATGATGAAAATGGTGATGATAATGAAGATTTATAATTGCATTTTCTCCATTGGAGAGGCTGTCTCATATTTTTTAATATTAAATGCATTTTCTCTTCAGACACTAATTTTGAATTTGATATCAGAGTTTCATATATAGTACTCTGTATGAGACTTCTTTCTAGTTAATAACATATATACCATGAAATCTAACTTTTGAGAAACCTTCTTGTTTTTGTGAATTTGCTCATGATGAACCACCCACTATGTTATTTCCTCACAACAAATTAATCAGCTTTCTGTTTTTTTCCCAGCAGCAGCCAGTGTCTGTTATGCAAAGTAATGGCTTCTAGCAAAATTTTATGTTGTGTCTCTCCTGCCAACTCTGAAATGGTCAGCTTCCTTTGGCTCACCATCCTGGAGCTATGTGGGTTTCTTACTTAGCCCCACCTCTGTAGGCATGTACTTTGTTGCTCACAGCTTGGTTGAGCTCCAGTCTTTGGTGCTGGAGATGTTGCTGTAATGTCTGTTGAGTATGGCGTGTATGGAGTTACTCTCATCAATCTTAAGAATTTGGATGTACTTTCCAGGCTTGTGGCACACATTGTACAACATAAAATCTGTCTTGAAGAGAATGTTGCAGATTAAAAAGATAGAGTATATATAATATGATTTTTTAAAAATATGTAGCTTTGATAGTAAGAAATTCCAGCAAACTCTTTTTTAATATTTCTATAATATATGACCAATTTTCTGTGGAATTACCAATTTAAAAAGACCTTTAAGGAAAGCTGGTTTATATAATGGTTTAAACAAATCATTTTAAGTTGATCAATTTTGATTTGTCTTAGGAAAGGTAACCCAGATTTAAAATACTATGTTGTAACATAAAATATGTAATATAATTACAACCTCAATTTCTGTGTTTTAAATGACTATTAAATATATTACATGAACACTTACTTTAGGTAACAAACCAAAAATAATGTGACAGCTATAAAAATGTTGATATTATCAATAGTAAAATATTCCTATGATCTAAATAACCCATAATATTGGGAGACTGCTTCTTTGAGTCAGTGATTAAGGGTGATGATTATTGATGCTGATCTGTTGGGGAGATTGAAATAACTGGGCAGTGCAAAAGCCTCTGATTAGAAGGGGAAATAATCAAGCTCTACTGTTATTGGTGAAAACTTCCCAGAGCTAAAGGAGAAAAATGGACTTTTTTTTTTAAATACAGCAATCTTGTATCATTTCAATCTGTGTAAAATCTTGAAATTGTGTTTTCTGATTAATTAACTTAACAACCAAATGAATAGAAAAATAGTTTGGTAAATTTCATGACCAAACTTTGAAGAAAAAATTGCAACATTTGTCCTGCCAAGGAATGGTTCTTTGCTTATTGGTTTATTTATGCCCATAGAATAACCATTCTAAGAATTCTTAGCCACCCTTCCCCAGGTTTTGGGGTCATATGTCAGAATTTCTGATTAATGTGAAATCAAATACATTTAAAGTACTTGTTAACCCATATGCTACACTGCAGTAGAAAACTAAATATTATAATTTAAATATTCAGCCTTCATTGTTGTATAAGTTAAAGACTAAGCTGCTGTAACCATAAGACTTCCAAAACAAATATCTGAAACAAAGTAGAATTATTGGTCATTATAATCGTTATATTCAGATAATAACTCAATTATAATCATTTAACAGTGTTAAAATGAGTAGTTCAGGCTGATGGGATGACATGGTTTTTTTGAAGGTCATTTGTAGATCCAGACTTTTGCCATCATGTTGCTCAATAATCACCTAGGGAATGGTCCTCATCTACAGGGTCAGATTTGGATCATGGACTAAATTGAAATCAAGGAAAATAGATAGCTCCAATTTGCACAAAGCAATTTCCATGTCATTGCTATTGAACCTAGATAAATGGTCACACCTAGTTGCATGTAAAGCTGGGAAATGTACCCAGCTGTTTAGTTATGTACCTAGCTAAAATTTGAGAGTTTCTGTTATTAATAAGAGGAACAGGAGAATCAATTGTGGAGTTTCTATTCTCCAGTTTGCCTATTTACTCCTTATGATAACAAAAATTGGTAGTGTCATACATTTTCTTCTTTTCTTTCTGTCTATCATCTACTAGTCTCCTTTACTCTCTGAATCTATAATATGTGGTTCAGATATTTTCTTATCTACTATAGTTTGGATTATCCACTTATTTACCTCTCTGCCTATCCATCTACACACACACATACATATAAATCAAAACATTTAATTTCACCAGTGAGGGAGAAGAGGCTCCATAATGTTGAATGCCACAGTCTTATGGCTAGTTTCTCAAAAGTAAAGATGAAATTAGAATCCAGGTGACAACCTCCAGTCCAGCCTTCTGTGAGATAAAGAATGTAACTGGCCGATTGAATAATTTTATTTTCTGCACAGAATAACCTAAACATATAACATTTTAGAGGTTTCTAAATTGTTGCTGTGATTTCTTTACCATTATGCCCCTTCCATGCTGCTGTATCAGCATTTGCTGTGTTGGTGATTTCCAGGCAGAAACCATGAACAGAGTTTTATTTACTTAAAATTTTAATATTAAGCTAATTTTACTTCCTGAAGAAACATTTACTTTGAGCTTGCAAATTCAAAATGCATAATTTTTATGTAAAACAATATATCTTCAAGTTCTAAGTAGTATCTAAGAGAAAGTCAAATAACAAAAATATAACATTGATACTCTACAGTTATAATTCACACCTCTTTATGTGTTGTTTTCTGCATTTAGAAAACTGGACCTCAATTTGTGGTTTACTTGTCACTCCATACACGGTGCAATTGTCCGATAAGACTATCTCAGTTTCCTTTGAGTCCTGCTGGTAGATTTGATGAGGGCAGCAAATGCCTATATATCACGTCACATCCATCCATCAAGAATGCATTAGCCCTCATGCTTTCCCAGCAAAGAGTTTTTATGCAATTGTTCAGATAATCAAAATACCATGAGAGCTTATAAAAGGCCCACCTGGAAAGACCGTGTTCAATAGAAGTTATGTTCTTAATAGAAACTATAGAATTACTCACTAGAAAGTTTATGCTTCTTGCTGACATTCTAGGTGTAAATAATGCAAGAGTAAACACTTTAATAATTTCAATTAATTCTGAAGTGTAGGTTTAATTTTTCTAATTACAGCCGATATTCCTAAATCTGGGACTTCTGGTGGAAGTTAATGAAATCTTTGCTGTTACATTATAGAACCTGCTGTTAAAGTGCAGAATGCGTTAATTAAAAATATTTTCCAATCGGAATGAGCTGTTTTAACTCCTTAACAAAGTTTCATGTCATGCATTATTTTAAAGTGGAAATTAAATAAAGTCCAACTGCATTTTTTGATTTCTACTAATTTGATATTTTAATGCTAATATCAGTTTTTCTGTTTGGAGTCAAATGGTGAATCATTACCTCAAGTCAGTAAATTTATTTGAAGAATGAAACCCTGACAGTGCTCAAAGCATACTCATTCAAAGCATAGCTTACTATAAATTTTCTTTTAATAAATCAAATCAAGTATTGAGTTAGGGGACATAAAGAGAGTCACATGTATATTTGCATATGGTAAACAATTTTAAGGGGCAGTCTTGGTACCAAGTAATGTATTTTGGGGAGAAATTTTGTTGGAGCCCTTTAATTTCCTAAGTAATTCTTTGTACTGTTGTCAATGGAGCATTTATTTTCTCCAGCAAACCTTAGTCTCTTGTACACACACACACACACACACACACACACACATACACACACACACACACACACACATATAAAATAGTGGAAGACAAATCCGAGACTACAACCTAGATAAGACCCCTTAATAACCATCATGCAAAGATAGTTACATTATGTTTTTATGCTGTTAGAGGCAGCTCTTTTAAAAAACACCTATAAGTATTTATGTTTTATTTGATTAACTTGGCAAAATTGCATATACTACCTAAGACTGGGTTTTTACTACCAGTCATGTCTCATGTATTGAACATATTATTCATGTTCATGCAGTGTAACCAAATGCTATACTAATATTAAAGGCAGATACTATTAACAACTATGAGACTAGTACCTTAGAGTTTAGCCAGTTCTCACATATATAAATCATATTATCCCTGATAAAATAAACTTATTCTCTTTAACTTCCTATTCTTGACTACCAACTTCTAATTTTGCACATTCTACCAGCTCTTAGGGATATTTATCATTACACTCAACGTGGAATCATGAGTTAACTTACTTAATGCTCAGCTTATTACACAATAATTAAGGTAATAATTAATTATGATATCCCATAATAGTCTACATTTAAATACATTTGCTTATTCTTTGTTTCTTTTTATTTTATACTGCCTTTACAATTGGTTATTGTTTATAACCATAAAATGTTACTTTAGAATAAAATATACCTTCCTAATTACTTGACTGTGAATTCTTAATCTAGTGCCTCTGCATGACATGGGCTCCATAAGTGGGAGTGAGTTGACTAACATATATGTGTATGTACATGGGTATAACATATATGTTACTTATAAAATGCTTTGGGAAATTTTAATAACTTTTGTTTTTTTGTGTGCTCTGTATAAGTTCTGTATTGTTAAAGAACCTGGAATTTAGAAATAGTCAAACTCAGATTTTCATTTTAGCTTCAGTACTCACTGGATTGTTGAACCTGAGACAATTATTAGTGTCAGAAAACTTTCATTTTCTCCTCTGTAAAACAGACATCCTATTATCTAACTGAATGTGTTTTTATAGGAATACGTCAGGAAGCAAACGTAGTTATAAACACATGTATGTATTTGTGTATTTATTTATTTATTTATTTTTAATTTTAAATTTTATTATATAGGTTTTCTCAATAACTTCCAAATACAAACCAAAAAACACCAATCATTCCCAAAAACTACAGATACATAGTTGGGTCTAGAAGTTCGAAGGCAGAGAACTATTAACTTGAAAGAGTTTAATTATGAATTGGTACTGTATTTCTGAAAACACTGGTGATACTGAAATAACACACCAATAGACAGGACCAATATGATCCTGGCAAAATGCTTATCTCACTGGTCAAGCTGCAATATTTCCTTTTACAAATGTTCTGAGGAACAATGCTTAAAATTATACCAGGGTTTAAAATATAGTTTAAATAACGTATATATAAAGTGTACATGAAAAGGGGAAATATGAAATCAGGCCAAAGTCTTTTGACTTTTGGTATCCTTATAATTCCCCAACTATCAGGGGATGAAATATTTTTCTAGAAAAAATAAAATGATGATTGTATTTCCTGTGGTGCTTTATGTATCAGAGTCACTTGCAGATTCTGGCCTGCTGTCATCTGGCCCATCACTTTCCTTGTCCCAGTCTTTCATAGATGCTCCCATCATGAAATTGTCACGTAGGATCGTCCAACCTGGGCCCTCTTCTGATTTCACTTCAGTCTGTTTGGCTTTTGGTTTCTTCTTGCTTGAGGTAGTCTCATTTGTACTTTCATCCATTCCTCTCAAAACACTGATAAAATCTTTCTTGGAAACAGTTGATATCAACTTAGTTCGCTTTCTAATAGAGCTTCCAGCTTCTTTAACCTTCTCATCAACGTTCTTTTGATGTTTCTGAACAGCATTAAATAACTGCACCACACCCCTCGTTGCAATTCTCTGAAGATTTCTCTCTGTCTCCTTGTCTTGGACAACATCTGGCTTTACTCTGCACATCATTTCCCACTCCATCCTCTTATCACGCTGTTTTATTTTCTCTTGTCTTTCTTGCTTTAACTTTTCTTTTTCCTTTTCCAGCTTCTTATTTTTGACCAGAATAGTAGGTTTACTTTCAGGAGTTTTCTTGTTGAGAACTTTAGCCATGGCATCTGCCCAGCCCGTATTGGTCCCAGGATTTGTGTATTTATAACTGGTGGGTTAGAAGAAAAACGATTTGAAAGAAAAATAGCTTTAATTTTTTTAAAAGAAACACATTACAAATCACATGATTAAGGTGAGAAGGCAATGACAGTATCTGGTCCTTTCTCTTTTAGATTGAAGTCTTTAATATATACTCAACAATCTTATAAGATTCTTAATTTTTAAAACAGCTAATATTAAATGTATAGTGGATAAAAAATTAAAATAAATAAATAAATAAATAAATGTATAATGGAAAAAGTACTCTGTTACAAAATGGGATATTAGCTTCTTTCCCCCCCAGTAAAGTAGCTAGAGCTTATAGAAAGAGTATTTTAAAATGCACTTTAAGATGTGTTTTGGAAAACAGCTAATGCACTGACATATGTATATAATTCTAATTTTTATGTATTATAAAATATATAATAATAATTGTGAATCAAGTAAAGAGTAGCCATAAATATTAAATGATATAGGCAAATTGTATTTAAAGCATAGACATGATTCTGTATCTGTGTACCAAAATGAAACCCCCACAAAAAACCCACTTGCCTATGGAAGATTATTTGGTATACCAACTGAGAAGAAAACACATCTTTTTAAAGGGTACTACTTTGCTTCACTTTGCAGAAATTTAGAGTCAAGAAGCTTACTGAATTTTATCACTGATTTTTCCAACTTATTTGGAAGTAATTATTGGTTATTTGAGGGAAAATTTGTGTAAAGCTATTCAATTAGTTGTAAATTGCCTCATTATCTTTTATAGTTCATCTCTTTTTATTTTAATTTACTTTTCACCATTAATTTTCTTTAATTAGCAATTAACACTAAAAAAATTCTTTACATCAGCTGCCTAGATAATTAATACAGTCCTATGGATTTCTGTAGACACAATATGTTAATGAATGCTTTGATTTGACCTAAGCCTCATTTTCACTCTGAAAATTGTACCTCTACAGAGTTAGACAAGAAACACACAATATAAGCAAGTTGGTTTATTTTAAATTCTGGGGTTAACATATGGCCTAATTATCTCCTTATAAATAGTTATCATTTGAATAATTAAGTCAACCTGTCATTGAGCTTTTGGGAGTAAACTGTTTCCTGAAATTTCCCCCCGCCCCCCGCACTCCTTGACAACATGAAAGTAAAATTCATATCACTTCTATCTCTTTAAAGTGCAAATGATTCCATAACTAAGTAGCATTTTTCATTTAATTTGGTACTGTGACAAAGATCGGCTCAGAAATGTGTATCTATACTTCAGTACAAGGACATCAAATATTTTATCCTCAGCTGCCCTTACCACACACCTTTGAACTAGTAGATTTCTTGTGACACCTCATTAGACAGAATAATTGTTGCAAGGGTGTGACCTTGTACCTCTGAAGCCATCTCTCATTCGATGGATGGTGTGAATGACTAAGTGGGTCAGTCTCAGAAGATCCTAAGCCATTCGTTCTCATTAGGCTGCCAGCCGTCAAATTCCAACAACATAGCAGGTTGTTTGAGAAATGTAGCGATTTATTGAAGGCATTTCTATATATGTATTTCAAGGCAATCAGCAGTTCAAAGAACATATATTAACTGAAAACTCAGGTACAAATAGCATCAGTTTATTGTTGCTATATTAAGCTCCTTGCTTGTATTTAAACTGATTTGGTATTGATCATTGATCATAATTCCATAGGTACTTTATCTTTTTGAATTTAGTTAAATGAAGATTGAAATGTAAAAGGGCAATTCTAGTGTCACTAATAAAGATAGCAAAAGCATTATCCAGTTCAGTTTTACTCAAGGCATGTGCAAAATAATTTCTCCTTTATTTGTATTTAAGGGAAATACATAGAGAACAAATGTTTTCTTAAAACTAGAGGTAAAGTGTCCTCTGTAATTATAGTAAAGTAGATTATATAATCTGCTTGTTCAGGCATATTCTATATAACAGGCTATAATTTCTTTGGAAGGGGATGGCAACTAATATAAATGATTTAAAATAGGTAGAAAAGATTGAAGCACAACACAAAGAGTTTATTTCTTATAGGGAGAAGGGGAAAACTTTCAATACTTCCTGTTTTAATAACTTAATTTTGCCATGTGCTGAATAAATGTTTTTAAAACAAAGCAGAAGACTGTAATGACATTGAGAGAGGAATGCTTTGTATGAAAAGGAAAAGCACCATTTGGGGCTAGAGGAAATATTTTGGAAATTTTAGATTTCCTATGTTCTGTCTATGCAATAAGAAGAAAACATACATTTTTTTCAAGGTTGCAAATAGGCTTAGCTTTTTGTGGAAAGCATATTTTGCTTCAAGATTTTCCCTTCATTTTAAAATAGTTCATTAACATTTCTCTGGATCAAGATCAAAAATGTCTGTCTGCCAAATTTTTTAGAGAATTTCCAATATCTTTGTATTAGTGTGAGGTCTGTCATATATATTAAAACAGGACTATTCATGATATAGCCTTAAATAAATATAGACATATTTAGAACAAGAACACAGTTCTGAAGCCACTGGTGACTTCAAAATTCCTACTCTCTTCTGTATTTCTGTGTATTGTTGTTCTAGGTTTAGCCAGTCCATTAATATAAAATGAAGTCATAATTGTAGTAATACCCAAATATATATGACTTTGTGCTCCCACTTTTTTAATTGTAGGAGTTTGAGGCTTCTAATAATGTTTATTCCAATATTTTATATATGTTTTCATGAGTAATCACTTTTCATGTGCTGTATAAATTTATTGTTCAAATTATAGTTTATGGACAGCAGTATGGGTATCACTTGGGAGCTTGTTAGAAATGCATAATCTTAGGCCTGACCCCAGACTCTCTGAATTATCACCATTATTTAACAAGATCCCAGGTGTCTCCTATTACGGTTTGAGAGGCACTGTTTAGGATGCAACTCTATGTTCTTCTTATTTGCTTCCCTTGTCAAAGTGCCACATCACGTTATATTCTGCCATGGATATATTGGCCACTGCTTGGCCATCTGTAACTGACATGGCTGTTACCTGTAGCTGGGTTCCCAAGTCTGTATTCATGAGATGCTGTAATGTTCTGTCCTTCAACACCTCCCAACCATGAAACAATTTTCTCCACTCACAAAAGGAGAAACAAAGCTGTCATTTTAAACAGCCTTTTCTAAAGTTTTGGTGATAACAATGAGTAAGTTTACCCAACGGGTAATTAAATCAGCTGTTGCATTTGGCCAGTTTTAGTCTACTGGCTCACATGTGTAATGCTGGGACCTTCTAGGACATTGCCCCACTTAGCTCACAGCTCCTTCCCATTAACCTTTTCCATACGTGTCATATAGCTATATTCCTGGGGACTTTAGACCCAATTCCTAGAAATTTTTGGCAGAATGCGATTCCGTCTCACTTCAGTCTTAACACTCAACACTAGAGTTTCTGTGATTTGTTCTAGGTTCGGCCTTCTGTTATTTATCTGTTGTTGTGCAACAAAGTACTCTAACGCTGAGTTACTGAAAACAACTAAAATTCATTAACTAAAAAGTTTCTTCGAGTGTCTCAGCTGCCTGGTTCTGGCTCAGAATCGCTCACAAAGCCAGGCTGCAATCAAATTGTTAGTGGTGGGAGTTGGGGTCTGCAGCCATCTCCGGACTGACTCAGTCTAGGGGATCCACATCTAAGCTGCAGCTCCTTGCCTTATGGGATTGCTGAGGCTGCCTGTAACATGGTAGGAAATAGAGGTGGAATAAGCATGAGCAATGGAAAGAAATGCCACCCTGCCTTTTATGACCTCAGTAGAATTGAGTCACTAAGCACAGCCCACACACAACAGGTGGTAATAAGAAAGTGTGAGAATTCCACGAGGCTGGGATCTTTGGGGCCATATTGTAGGCTGCCCATCAAAGTATTTTTCTTGGGAAAGTAAATAGTACTTCCCTCAAGGTATGACTTCAATTTCTGTTCCCAACAAGGTGATTTTACCAGATCATGCAATGAATAATGGGAGGGTCTAGTTTGCACTGCTTTAAGTAATCTGCAGCATTAGATGACAACTCTCATTGAATTCTTTATGAAATCTTTTCATCCCTGCGTTCACATCTCCTGCAAACTCTCAAAGCAAAACAAGACAAAATTAAGACAGCTCCACAAGGCATTTGTCCTCTCAAAGCACATACCAGTAGTACAGGCCTGGTACCTTTTACAGTCAGTCACACAAAATAAATTAATCTTTATTCTTTAAATTTGTCTGCTACTGTCAAACCACAGACTTACACACATACACATGCATAAACAAAAAAGAACAGGAATAGAAATGGAGTAAGCACAAGCCATAGAAAGAAATGCCACCCAGCCTTTTATGACTTCGGTCACGAAGCAGGGCCCACAGACAACAAGGTGGGAATAAGAAAGTGTGAGAATCCTAGGAGGCTGGGATCTTTGGGGCCATAATGGAGTCTGCCCACTAGTCTTTTTCTTGAGGGAAGTAGTCCTTCCCTCAAGGTATGACCTCGTTTTTATCCACAAAGAAGTCAATTATGATCCTTTTAAAAAAACATGTTTAAATCAGCTTAACTTAGGTATAACTTATATACAATGTAATATATTTATATATTTTTATGCATTTTATATAATTCACATTATACCAGGTATTGAGTTTTCAATATATAATATTTACATTCAGGCTAATAGTGACCTTACGTAGTTTTCCACTGGGAATAATGAATGGGTTTTTCTTTTACATTTGTGAAACTAAAGAGATTTTGAGAGGGCGACTATACACAGGAGGAGCCTGCTTCAAAAATAAATTTGATGGGGAATGAATAAGAACATTATTGTATTTCCATGCAATGGAATATTATACAGCAGTACAAAAGAATGAACCACTGATACACTCAATAATGAAAATGAATCTAAAAGAATGTATGTTTACCAAAAGAAGCCAGAGGCAACATATTATATACAGTAGGGTTTTAATTATATGAAGTTCTAAAACTGAGGATATGAGATTTATGGTGTTAGAAATGACGTCAGTGTTTGCCTATGGGAGGGGAGATGTGGAAGATTGACTGTAAAGGAGTAAGAGGCAATTTTAGGATAATAAATATATTCTATCTCTTGGTGTAGAAATTACCTGGGTATATGTGTTTGAAAAGCTGCTCACTTAAAATAGGTACATTTTATTGCATATAAGTTATACCTCAATTAAGCTGATTTTAAAAATCTACAAAGAAGTCAACTATGACAATTCTTTTTTTAACAATTTTAAAATCATAAATAATACAATGTATTGTATTGTAACTAATAAATAGTTACATGGCATTTTCCAACTTCTACCTGTTATTACTAAATATTGTAGACTTGTTTTCAGCCTGAATACCCTGATTTGAATCATTGTTCTTAAGGCAATAAAATTTGAATCTTGCTAATTATCACTTTATACTAGGGCTCAGAAGTTTAATTGTGAAAGTATGATATTACAGATTGTTGCTGTTTTCAACTTCTTGACATGTTGTCAAACTTGGAACATTATTAGACTTGGTTTATTTTTATTTTCAATTTGTTTATATACTTTTTAATGTCAATTTCTATGTCTTATAGGTGGTTTCAAATGGAGTCACATTAATAGTAATAACAAATTTAATTTGTTCGTAAAATTTTCTAGCTTATGCATTTCTTAGTCTTCTGCAAAACATGCTAAGTATTCTTAGAAGTTCCAGGCAGATATTTCATGTGTTCACATGTAAATTTAATCCAAAGTTGTATCAGCTGTCACTGGCCTCCACTAATGCTTGCTTTCCTCATCCTGATTCTCAGCCTTCTGCTGGCTATTTCTTTGTGCATCTGATATTGCATAGATGCTACTGTATCCATCAGTTTCTGCTATCTTCTGTCAGGAATTTGCTGGGTCAAGGTTTTATTCTGTTTCATTGTCGAGCCACGGAAGCCCTTTATAGCTGTTACCATAGTAATTCATTGCCGAGTTTGGCAAGAATGCCTCCATCTCTCCTCCTTTAGTTTTTCTTTTATACTTTACTATCGGGTGGCTGCTTATGCCCTAATGCCTTAGTCATTTACTGAAACAGCTTCTTCAGTTTTACTTATAAGCTCCTTTTCAACTCCGTTTGCTTCACAGGACTCAGATGTGAAACTTAACCCAGATTAATCTGAGTGACTGGTCTCATACTTCACTGATAATTTCCTTTCTTCTCCTGTGACTAAAACATTGTTATTGGGTCAAGTTCAATGTGTATTCTTCACTCTTATAGGCTGTGTTCTCTTTCAAAGAAATTCTTAGTTGCTCTTTATAACAGGATTTCTCCAGATCTGTTTGACCTGTTTATCTGACCCACACAGACATTTCTGAAATCCTTATACAGGTTCATGTGAGGATTCCTACTATGTTTTCTGACTTTCAGTTATATACGATTTCTACTTTACTGCAGCTAAAAACCTGAGTTTAGGTAACATTCTATATGTGAGACAACTCTATCCAATCATGACCCTGAGAAGTCATGAGCAACTATATACTCATTTTCTTCTTTTGTGAAATTAGAAGGTTCTACAACACTACTCAGTAAGTTATCTTCCCCTGATGAGACAGATTCTAGTGAGAGAAATAGACCAAATAAAATGTTAAAAGAAAAATACATATTAGATACTGTTACCTGCTAAGGAGAAAATAAAATAAATCAGTAAAGAGAATACAGGTAATATGGGAGTAGGTTATACAATTTGAAATAGGAAATAGGGGGCCAGAGAGACTTTTGCTAATAAAGAGGCATTTGACTAGAGCTAAAGGAAGAGATAACCTTTTAAGTGCCTTCCAGGCCCTTGTTTAGAGAATATCAGAGGTGATAATTTCTCACATTGAAATATACTTAGTAATTTAATATTCGGTAGACATTTTAAAATACTAAGCAATAGTCTTTTACTCAATGTTTGTTTTATAATTTTCAGTATTATTTCTTTCATATATAACTATGGTGATCTTTTAATATGAATATTATGAGTTCTGATTCCATGGCTAGGCCATTTATTCAGGTAATTTAGATTGACATTTATTTTTAGGTTGAATTGTTTGGATAACTGTCGTGTGTGTGTGTGTGTGTGTGTGTGTGTGTGTGTGTGTGTGTGTTTGTGTGTACACCAAGCCAAAATGACACCTTCATGGTCCCACATTGATTGCTCGCACACTTAGTTAACAGAGTTTGTAAGATAGCTAAGCTACTAGGTGGAAAATTCCTCCTTGCAGAATATTTGTTCCTGTCATAAGCACCATTTTACTCACATATTTTGCATTACCTTACAAAGACCACAAGCCTTGGAGTCACAAAACTGCAGCTACGAAATTGCAGCTATAAAACTCATTAATATGTCACTGAGCCTCTCTTTGAACTAGGCACTATGTAAAACACTGGGCATAAAATCGAATCTAACAAGTTGTTATCATGGAACTCCTACTTGTCTGACTAGTAAATTAGTCATCTTTTTCCCTTTCTAAAATACTTTTTATATAACACTTCAGAACTTACATAGCATTGTCTTCTATGATCAATTAGCTACTTGGTATGAGAGATACTGGAATTATCTTTTGTGAGGATAAGTCTAACATATGATCTGTATTGTAATCTAGCAAACTAGGAATATGAACTTCTTGTCAGAAAGATCTGCTTAAATTCCATTTTTTTTGTCTATCTCCTATCTTCGGCTTTCCATGAGTTGTCCTTGCTTTTTCCCTCATCTGTGTTTATACAGCCTTTATACTTACCCCTGAGCTCTGTGGGTCTTTTAACTAGACTAAAGTGTGTGAGACAGAGACTGTGTCTTCAGTTTTACATCTTAAGTACCTTGTTAAGTGCCAAATACATGTTATATGTGGATTTACTCCTTAAGTGAGCAGTTATAAGCCAGAATGGGCTTCTCTGCTGACAAGCCATGTGCTCTTGGCCATTTGGCTTCTCCAAATCTCAGATAATGTTTCTGAAAGAGTGATATGCGCATTAATGAGGAAATGCAATAATCTGGATCAGGCATTTTTAACAAAGCCAACTGCTATTAAGCTTTTCTTAAATGTTAGTGTCTCCCCTTCTCCTCTTTCCTTCTGCAACTCTTCCTATTTATTATTATGATTACCATTATTTTTATTATTAATTTTCATTCTTAGGATATGGATTCTGTTTGAATTAAATTCAAAATGTTATATATACCATAGATACTCAATAAACTCCAGTCAATAAATTATTTTTATTGAGCCTTTATTAGGTCCATAGAACTTGTGAATGAATGTAATTTTATCTCCAATATAGTTTAGTGAAAAACGTTTTAGTGTTTCCTGCATAGAATAAATTTATCCTAAAGGAGGCAGGGCAGCAGATACCTGAGCTGTTTTTTGCAGTATCCTCATAGCTGAATACAAGGACCTTTGCTGTCAGCTTCTTTGACTTGTTTTCACATTATCTGTCATGATAGGTCTCTTCATGATTATACCTTCACCACTTCACTTTATCCATGTAATAACACCTCATGTGATTTGTAGGTAGTGGTAAATGTCACTGTGAAATTTTAACACTGATCTATTTATTAAATGTTATATTTCTAGAATCTTGATGGTAAAACATCCTGTCTTTACCATCTACCAGTAATTTTTTAGATAAATATAGCCAGGATATTATCATGTAAAATGCAAAATGATGAGCGAAAGGGTGTTAAATATTTTACAGAGTTAAAAAACAAAGGAAAATCTACAAAATAAGAGCAGTCTTGAATCTGAAAGCTTAATTATACTGATGACAAAGAAGCACGGTAAAAAAAAAAAAAAGTTTTCTATACAAGAGTGTGTATGTGCAAACACAAAATTTTGAAGAACCGTTTCAGGGTTGACAGTAACTTACACTCTTCTTGATAGTAAGAAGGAAAAATTCATTCTCGGCACTGTAGTCATTGCTTCATTTTACTTTTCAAGAAAGTATTATGCCCACAAGCAAACCTTGTGAAAGACATATAAGAATGCAGTTCATTCTTTTTAGATTCTTACAATCATTGTCTGTTTCCCTCATGACTAACTGCAATAGATTTAGTCTCACAAGGTACTTTATGTAGAATTTCCATGTAATTTTTATGCTTTCTTTAAAAAAGTGCTTTTGACATCTTTTTTGAATATTTTCATTCTCATGAGTATACTTTTCTATGTCACTTTTCATCGAGCTGAATATAGCAATTTGAGGTTGGAGTGATACCAGTCTATTTTTAGCATTCTTTCTTGTAAAACTCCTCTCACCATCCTTGTAAAGGCTGCAAAGATGTATGGTTCACATTTTTTCCCTCTTGTCCTCATAGTTCATGCCATTTAATGGTCATATAAATAATTATATACTCTTGTTGAGTCTCTCTGCTATATCTTTCATTGCAGATTGTGGAGAGACATTTATCTAATAAACAAAAACAGGATACGCAGAAAAATGTTTGAATGCTTAAATCTCTTATAATTTACTTTTATGTAAATTTGTTACTGCACTGTGTTTTGAAAAGAATATTTTATCTATCTAGCTTCAAATAAATATCTCATATTAGGTATGAATTTCTCATACAATGTTTATATTTATAGCTTTGTATTCATACTATATTACTTTCCATTTGTCAACATTAGATTTCAGGTTTTTCTTGATAACCTAGTTACATCACTGAGTGAAATTCATTTTCATCTGACTTTTCTATGCATGTTGTTTTTAAATGTGTAAAATAGGTTATTTTTGTAACCGAAAAATCAAAACTGGAAAAAACGTCAGGCACTATCCTGCAAAGTCTCCATTATTTAATAAGAACCTTTATTCCCCACACACTGTTGTGTGTTTATGTATGTGTACTATTTCCCTAATGCTCCTTTGATTGCATTCCTAATACTTAAAGATACTTTAAATTTCTCCCTTCACTACATTTTTTAAAAAGCAACATATAAAATATTACATATTTTAGGTTCAGTATATTTGTTACTGCTTTACATAACATGGCATGATGTGAGATTTCTCCACCAATTTCCACCCCTAAAATTCCTTGGGTTTGAAGTATTCGTTTTCTAAAATCTTTGTGGACATATGTGATTTTTTTTTTCTGAGTTTGAGAGTATGCTCGTCTTTTTACTTCTAAAGATAAATTTGTTAACTGGTTTTCTCCTGATGAGATGTCTGGATAAGATTGAGAAGAGTGTGAAAAGGTAAAGTATAAGATACATTCTAAATATGGACTTCCATCAATGGGAGCATTGATAACAAATATCTGAGGGAAGGAAGAGCACACAAAAAATGAGTTATTGTTTCAATATTATGAAAATAAGATTAATATTAAAGTGTTAATAACAGTTACTAGTGCTTCTCCTTCTCCCATTCATCACTGTTTGTGTGATTCTCACCACTGATGGAAAACTACATTTAATATTACTAAATTGTAATATTATATTATATATTTATTGTTATAAACCTATTTCATGGTTTATTTAAGGGGAGTCAAAAATCAAATACATGACTAAAATAGAGGTAAGATTAGTTTGCCATTTTACATTATCATCAGTTATTTATTGTCTGAAAACTCAAAAATGTTCAATTATATATCATGCTAATTTTGGCCTGAGAGTAGTTTGGGTAATGGTTTAAATGTCCATCTAAGATATGAATGTTCTTTTAGTGATGGGATCAAATTTCTGGTTCAGATATAGTTCAGGAAGCTTCCTTTCATTGAATCACTGGAGTCAGATACTTCTTATTGTTTATTCATATATTCATTCATTGAACAAATGTGTACTTCACACCAAGTTTACATCATGTCTTTGAACAGGTAAACAATATTTGGTTTTTGTTCTCTGGCTTATCTCTACTGATATATGTCATTATTCAATTCAGTGACATAAATCTAGGTAGTTCAAGCAGGAAGAGATCATACAGGGTAAAAATAGTACTTGTAAATCCTTTACAAGAGCTGGAAGAAGAAATGTGAAGAAGTCTACCATTACTTCTTGGGTTCACCACTGACTTTCAGAGAATCAGAAATGTCAACTGAAACCCAGATCTGGAGCTACAGTAGACTCTACAAGGTGATTGTGTCAACTTGCAGCACTGAAGTAGGTGTTTTATTGAGGAAAATATAGAGGCTACTGCAAATTCTTTTTTATACTGAAACCACATAACTACATGCCATTGTAAGAAATGATTATCTTTCTCTATGGTGCTGTACCAGTGCATCTCATTGGTGGAAACCAAGTTGTATTTTGATGGATCTATGTTGGGACAGGAGCCAAATACAGTTTCTAGGCTTAAGCTTTTTCATGCACTGACCAAGGAAGAAAGACATAAGAGCCTTTCTTTTTTTAATTGTCATGCCAGTCATGTTAGAACACCTGTGATAAAGAAGAGAGAAGAAAAGGGATAAGGATTTCGAGTACCAACACACAATTATTCATCTTAGGCTTAATGTGAGACAGACATTTCTAAGAGAAAATGTCTCCTTGTTACCTCAATTCACCAATAGAGGAAAGCTCCTTTTAGGCTAGCAATGCTCAGAATTGTTACTTGTGTACCCTATACCATCCCATGTTTTCAAAGTGAAGAAAGGTAGACATTACCTTAAGCAGTCTTCTCTCAGATTTCTAGACATTGACTCAATGCTTTGGCATTATTTAATGCAACTCAGACAGCTGTCCTTCCAAATAACATAGCTGTGATTTCAACAAACATAGCTATCACCACCACTGAACTGTATAGAACATCTGGTCCGTAACCATAACCACAGGACCTCCTTCTGCATTTCAGTTTACTTAATCATTAGTCTCAAGTGTCCGATATCCTCCAAGAGACTGGCATGAGTGAAAACAAAAGGCTCTTCCCTCCTTAGTCAATACACAGAAAAGCATACCATCTCACATGTTAGCCTTTGTCCTCTTCTAAAAGGGAGGTCACCCACGATTTGTCAATCTTGTTGCTGACCCAACTACTCGTGAACTTCCTTCTTCCAAAATAATTTTACTTCACTTCCTGAAACTTCTACATTGTGATACTTAACAAACAGATAAATAAACAGCAAAAGAACAAAGGGGCTTACTCTGCTGTATCACCCAACTCTTCCCTGCTGTGCGTTTTTTTTAATACCACCCACTCCCAGACTTTATCATCCAAAGGCCATACTTGCTGGACCGAATTATAGATTAGCCTAATATAGGTATTAATTCATGCTCTTTCTTCTGTCAAATACAATTCCATTTTTTTCTCCCTCTACCCTATATCATTTCACTTTTTATTCTTCCCTTACATGTTAGCCTAAATATTACTTCCTTCTAAGAAAATCTTTGTCACTGAAAACTGGATTAGGTTACACCATTATTGACTGTCACAGCACCCTGAATATCTTCTCCACAGTATTTATCCCAATGGTGTGTGTTGTTTTTTGTTTAGTGTTATTAATTCTGTAATAATATAAGTTTTTTGTCAGTAGGCCTGCATTTATCTTTTTACACAATTATCTATGGCACTGGAGCACTTCATAAGGGTATATTAAATGGAAAATAGATACTAAATATGGCCTAAAATGGAAATATTCAAGGTTAGATGGCTAGTCATCACAGATATATCATAGAGGAGACTTTTAGGGTGTTGTCAAATCCTGAGACGTGATTTTGCTAAATGAAAATGAAAGAAAAGTTAACATATCTATATAATATGGATAAAGTGGAAACATAAGCTAACAAAATAACAGTTGGGTCATGTGGATTTGAGAATACTTTTAACACTGATTCTAAATTGAGATTAGCATAACTTTAATTTTACATTTTGTTGAAATCTTATGCTTGGGAGTAGGAAAGAATACCAAAAGTACAGGCAGAGCTAAAAGAGAAAAGGAAAATATGAGGACAGAAGTATAAAAAAATGAAGGTCAGGTATAGAAATTGATCTTC